CGGGGAAGCAGTCTGGGAAGCAATCCTTGCCCCACTTCAGGACTTCTCCCGTCTTCCAGGACAGAATGGGATTGTGCTTTACCAACCACGGGCGCCCTAAGATGATGTCAGCAGTAGACCCCTCCAGAACCAGAAGATGAATGTCCTCAGAATGAAGTAGGCCCAGTCGAAGAGTGATGGGTCCCACGCGATAGCGGACATGTCTACGGCATAGTGGTTTTCCAGTTATCGACTGGACTTGGTAAGCAGTTTCAGTGGCAGTAGCTTGTAACTTGAGCTGGCGGCAGAGGTCCCGGGAGATGAAGTTTCCTACTGACCAGGAGTCGATAAGGGCCGATACTGAAATAGAAACAGAGGCAGTAAGCATTACACAGGTAGTGAGTGGTTCCATCTTAACGATATCAGGCTGAATCACACTCACCACGGGACGTGGAGGACGAAGGGGGCATGACAAGATCATATGCCACTGAGCTCCACAGTATAAACAGAGACCCCGGGTCAGCCTTCTCTGCCGCTCAGCGGTAGATAACCGGTGCCTCTCCACAATCATGGGTTCTGATGCTGGTTCTGGAGGTTAACTGGGCTCTGGTCGGCGGAGGTAGTGGCGGAGACTGGTGTTGCTGTTAACAGGACTGCATGCGGTTTGAACAAAGGATGGATAGCTGAATGAATCTTTCCAATCCAAATGAATCATACACAGCGAGCTGTAACCGAAGCTGGGGATTCAGCCCCTGTCGGTAGGTGGTCAGCAGCGATCGCTCATTCCATCCACTTGCTGCTGCGAGAGTTCTGAACTTCAGCGAGTATTCAGCAGTTGACATGGTACCCTGTTGCAAATGATAGAGTTGTTCTCCCACAGCGGTATCTCCGTCTGTCCTTCCAGACACCTCGTGAAAATGCACTAGAAAGTTCTGTACATTTTGAATGATGGGGCTGGCCTGGGCCCAGATCGTTTCCGCCCATTGCAACACTGGTGCTGTTAGCAGGGAGATAAAAGCAATTTTGGAGGTGTCAGTGGGATATGATTGTGTTTGCATTTGAAAAGTCAGATTACACTGCAGGAGGAACCCGTTGCACTCCTCCGCCGAGCCAGAGTAGGGCGCCGGTCGGGCCATGGGACTAGCGATGATGGTAGGCGAAGAAGTGCTGGTTGGAATGGAGGAGGTGATGGGTGGTGAGGGCGGCGGTGCCGGTGATGGTGACGATGCCGGTGGATTCAGAAGGACGCGTCGTAGTGAGTCTACGAGCTCCTGAAACAGATCGGGGTGACTCATCTGTGCCGTCGGTGTGGGTCCGGTCTTCTGTAACGGCAGAGGTCTGACGCAACAGGTTAGTATATCAATCAAGTTTATTTGGTCACAGAGAGTACGGGTGTAGGATCCAGGTGATGACACGGTGAGTGTATAGTTTGTAGAACAGTTTAAAGGATATGATGAGTGGAATGAGTCCTTTCCTTTACAGGAGCTGGAATGCACACGGAAGAGCACACACCTCAGCGATCCAGGAACTAGGAGGAACAGGAGAGACACTAGGAGGAACGTGAATTAAGTATGTTTTTATTGACATACAAAATTGTCAGTGCTCTTAACAACAGTTATTAGCTGAATACATTAATGATTGACAATTGACATTGAACATGAATAAATACATAAAGAATTAAAACACAAAATAAGAAGAAAAATTTGATGTGATGAAGACCAAGTTTCAGTGAAACAATCACAATCCAATCAATATGATGCCTTTAAGTCCATCATTTTGGTGTGATTAAGAAGCGATTTTTCTCTGCAGATGATGAGGTTGTGGGATGTGATACATCTGAAATACACAATTGAGTTTAGAGTTACAGTGTGTCCATGTGTTTGTGTAAAAACAATTATGTTTATGAAGGCCAAAAGCAAAAATGTGAGCCCTTCACAATCTTAAAAGAAAAAAGTGATATAAAGTCATGGGATACTTTTAATATTTTTTTGTGACTAGGTATGTTTATACATAAACCCAAGTAATAAATAAAAAATCTAACAATATGAATTAAAAAATCATTGTCTCTTTTACTTACTTTGTGGAGGAGAGAAGTTTCCACAGCTTAGCAGAGCTGCACACACTTGTATGTGAACAAAAACTAAAAAAGAGATAAGAACATGTTTGTTTGGAAATCAGTTACAATTTTAAAGTTAAATTTGTATTTAAATTAACTTACATGTGAATAAAAAAAAAAGAGATAAGAACATGTTTGGTTGGAAACTAGTTACAATTTTAAAGTTAAATTTGTATTTACATTTAAGAATGAAATCATTTACCTGTTGAGAGTGTGTTGACAGTCTGTGTAGAAAATCAGAAATGAGGAGCTTTGTCAGTTACAGATTTGAAAAACAAAAGGGCGGGAACAAAGAACCATAAACTATAACACA